AGTGATGAAAGCATGTTCTCTCTTATCTTGCTTCTGTTTTTGTCATAGATGACTTTTTTTTATACATAAACTTCCCCTTACAACAGTCATTTATGTGTCAGAGACGTGTCAATCAAGCCTCACTGAATTATTTGTACATAAATTGGACAGATGTGAGTGTGCGCGCACACGCACACCACTTCTAGTCGTTCTCCAGTTCCTCCGCATTCCCTGTGTGTGTATCATGACTAACTACACTACTTATCATTCCCCACCCCCCCCGTTTTTAGTCCTTCTTCCTTTACTTGTTCCTCTAGTCATTTATAATGTGTTACTGTGATGTTGTCGTTTATTTAGTTGATTTTGTTGTTGCTAGTATTTACTGTCCCTTTTAATGTGTTGTAATTTCTTTTGTTACTTTTTTAAAGTATGTTTTCCTCTGTAATTTGAGTGATATGTATATATATATATATATCCACAGCATATTTATTTATTTATTATGCTTATTTCTGTAATAAGCTAGTCACCTCGTTTCTTTCTCTCTTTTTTCATTTTGCTGTACTATCCCAACTATTCAGTTAGTTAGTTAGTCAGTCAGTCATTCACCAAAATCAGTCAATCATATACACATTCAGTAAGTTAGTCAGGCAGCGTATTCATCAGTCATCTTTCGTTCTCTCTATCTCCATCCTTCTGTATTCTGCCTCTTGATGCCTTCACCTACAACAACAGAACGACAGTAGAATTGAGGATAGATAATGTACACACTATCACATCATCTAATCGAAGAATTATTATTATTAGATGAACGCATATTCACCTACCTAACTACCACCTACCACCTACCTACCTACCTACCTATCAATCATTATCTCTTTTCTGTCTCTTTCTCTCCGTGTCTCCATCAATCAATCACTCATTAATTCATTCACTCACTCACTCAATCAATCAGTAAGTCAGTCAGTTAAGTTAAGCTAAGCTAAGCTAAGCTAGGTAGGATGCATGTCAGTTCTACAAACTTGCCTACATACATACATATATATATATGTTGTGTCCTCTGTAATAATATTATTCTTATTATTGTGAAGGGATAATAACGATAGCCTACCTGTCAATCAAAAATGTCGTTAAAAATCACCTCTATATATGTGTATATACGTGTGTCTATTTATGTGTGTATGTGTTGCATACACGCATCATTCATTCATTGATAGACAAGGAAAGTTCAGACAATTTTACAAACCTATACCATGCCTGCCTCTTTCCCTCTCTCTCTCGCTTTCTCCTCTGCCTGGCTAACTAACTGCTTAACTGCCAAATATCATCCTAAAATGTAAAGAAAAAATTGTCTATAAAAATGAAAATGAGGGATGCCACCCAAAAATGAAAAAAAGAAAGAAAGAAAGAAGGTGATTGTATTATTAGTAGTATCATCAAAACATCTATCCTCACGCGCTCTCTCGCTCGCTCTGTCACTCTCCCTTTCTGTCAATCTATTCTAATAAACGTAACTGTCTGTCATCAAGGTGATGTGTATATGCTATAAATATATTTATGTATGCATGTAGTGTATATATGCATATAGTGTATATATATCAATGTAGACTGGATTGGATGCTGAAAGTGTTTATAGCCTTTCTATTTAGTTATTTAGTTTAGTTAAGGCTAAATAGGATAGATATGACACTATGCGCTGTAAGACTAACTTGAAAATGTTTACTTTTTCAAACACACTGTGTGATGGATGAATGTGATGTTGTTTACAATACATGAATGAATTATTTTGATTTGATTTCTATCAACTACCACCTATGGCATATTATATTCAAATTCCATTTAAGAAAAAAAATTGACAATATAAATATATACATGTATGATCACTGGATCAAGAATAATCTGATCTTGTTTTTCAAAATAAAAATATTAAAAAAAATCAGAATAATGACAGATACACCTGCCTAAACATGATCCACATGACTTCAGAAATCCGGATAACACTGTAGGCTAACTTGTGAATTTTTAATTCAATCCCCTGTTGATTGACTGGACCAAAGGTGCGTCGGTGGCACAGCGGTTATGACTCTCGCCGATCATGTACATGGTCCGGGGTTCGATCCCCTGCCGACGCACACCTGATATCTGTGGTCGGCCTGCAAAATTTGGGCTACCGATATCACATGCTGAAAATTCCATACCTGTACCAAAAAATACGGTGTGGTATCAAGCTGTTTTTTTCCCTTCACGTTCCCCAGTGGAACATAGGGCTTCAAGCTAGTGGCTTGAAGTCTCTGTAGTAGAGTTTATTTTACAGGATGGGGTTGCTAGCCTCATACCGAACCTTCCATCTTTACCAGTCTTATTACTGACTTAGGGAGGCAAAGGAGTGAGTCGGTGGCCGGGGATCGAACCCCGGACCATGTGCATGGTCGGCGAGCGTCCTAACCGCTGTGCCACCGACGCACTTTATTGCAAGCTGTAATAAAAAAGATACAATAAAATGTTCGACCTCTGTTGACATGTCGCCTCTTAGTATGGATGCTTGACGATGTCTGAGGATTAACTTGACTAGCAGTAGAATCCTGCAGGATGTGCATTTCATCACATTTCGGCCTGTTTCAATAATCCACCACGAAGTCAATCGATCAACGGGAAAATCAGAATTGAATGAAAAACAAATAATAATAATTGGTGCTCGTTGCACAAGATGTGATTCTTTTAGTCTAAGTGGTCTAGTGAGTAACGGTGGGTACTGGGTTCGAGTGTCAGAGGAAACACTACTGCTCGCTGGGAATACAGTGGACGAGTTCCTAATAGGACGAAATGAGCATTCTGCATTCTGCCTGTCTGTGTCTGTTTTCGACATAGAACTTTGCACATATGTGCGGCAGTTCAAGTCGCCACACTCCATGTAGCACACAAAGCAAGAGAAGAAAGTAGGAGAAATGCATAATATAGACAGTAAACAGACGTGTGAGACAAAGGAATAGTAATAACGAAGAACAAAACAGTTTCATTGGAAATCATAAGTCACAAGGAGTGGATGCATCTGCGCCAGCCATTGAGAACGATTTTGAGCCATGTCACCAATTGTTTCCAACCATTGTTTTTTACCGTCCCGAGGACCCCAACCAGGAAGTCTACACCTTCCTACGTGACTGGCTTAGACTAACTGTTGTAGATTTCATTGACTGGTGCCATGTTTTCGTTTGACCGCCATTCTGCATTCTACTACTGTTAGTCACCATACACAAAATTAATTAAAGTTGTGAATTGTCTATTGATATAAAGACTGTTGTGAATATTCTTTAAATGATTTGTTTAAATTTATATTTCCCGCTGATTGATTATACTGGATCAAAATGTCCGATTTCCATTGACTGTTTTCAAGTATTGATTTTTCTAGGGATTATGTTTGATTGGTTGGAGGGTTTCATCATGAGCTGACATCATTTAGAGAACCATTGCAAAAGCACCTGGGAGTACTGGACAGTTGTTTCGTCCTAGTGCTTGAGACTCTTCATCAGTACGCACCCACCGCAAGGGTCGAGCCCAGGACCTTCTGGTTACAAGGCGAGTTCGATCCAATGGCCAGCCAGTGCATGAATTCTAAATTCTGCCAATTCATGAGATAGTGCGACCACTTGGTAGTGTCTTCTTCGATGAATTTCTGTCTCACCTTCAACCTGCTGTACCCTACTGGTTATGGCTTCCCCTGGTATGGGTGCCTGACGATGTTTGAGGATTAACATGATGTTCCTTAATGAAATGCTCACACGATCATGTTAATCCTCAGACATTGTTGAAACGTCTGTACTTGGCTCCACATCTGCCCACATGCTTCCATCTTCTCTTCACATGACCTCTTCCATATCACCCTCACACTGACGACCAACTCGCCACTTCGCACTCGGGTTACACTCGAGCGATGGCCTGGCGTGTGATGTCACTCACTTGATGGTTGGTTTTCTCAGAGTATGACCAATCCAACTCCATTTCTTCCTGCATATTTGTTGTACAATTGGTTCCTGCTGCGTCGGTGGCATAGCGGTTAGGACGCTCACCGACCATGCACATGGTCCGGGGTTCGATCCCCGGCCACAGACGCACTCCTTTACCTCACTAAGCCAGAAATAATGCTGGTGAAGAGGAAAGGTTGGACATGAGGCTAGCAACCCCATCCTGTAAAATAAACACTGCTACAGAAACTTCAAGCCACTAGCTTGAAGCCCTATATTCCACTGGGAACGTGAAGGAAAAAAAGAAATTGGTTCCTGCTGCGTTGGTTCGTTCCCAGAGATCCCTTTTACTGATCTTTTCTGGTTGGCCATTTGATCTTGAGTGGTATTGAGCGAAGACAGCTTTCGATGAAAGTTTGTAGTTTGTTCGAAGTCTCTGATCCGCATAGTAGCAGTGACTTCACATTGGAGTTGAACACCACTGTTAATTGTAGTAAATTTAAACTGTTTTGTTTACTGACATACCCTCATTACTCATCAAGGGTTTTATTTCAAAGGAACACTGTTCATTTTTTGGGGGAGGGGAGGGAACTCAATGAAAATAGGCCGAAAAATATGAACTAGTGAGATTACTTTCTGATCATCTAGATTAAATTCTACGGATTTCACCACTGACAGTAAAATTTTTATCTTTGTGTTGAATTCCTTTGCGTTCCGATTGGACCATAGCGCTTCAAGCTTGAGCTTCAGTGGCGGGGGTGTTTTTTCTCTGATCATGGCTTACTGCACTCAGGAATAGTATCGGAATCTTCCATGTGACTCGCGAGCATTCTACCACTGAACTACTAACACAAACATATACACACACACACACTAAAGACTTCAGTTTATAAGCGGCTTTTGTTTATTATGTCGTGGAGTTCACACTTATTAGAAAGGCACGTCTATTCATAACCTGAAGGATTTCTATGTTATGTAATTTTACAAAGTAATTAAGTCAAAACTATATTCACTAATTAATGTCATCCTACTAATATCTTTTTATTTTTTGCCTTTTAACTTTAGATTTATCCGAATCAATGAAGATTAGTCAATCACCAAATAAAGATTTGAACAGTTCTCATATTCATCAGATCAATAATGAAAATAAATTATTATCTAAATCATATAATAATAATTTACTTGGAAATATGATGAATGCTAGTAATAATAATACTACTAGTAAAGCTGGAGTTGGTTTCGTCAGCAGCACTGGTGGACGAATCAATCCTAATCTGAGTCATGAACAGAAACGGAATCATCGAAACTTAAATGAATCATCAATAATGAATAATATTACTAATAATTTGGGTGATTGCAATTCAACAGAATCTGATGAGAATTCATCAGTAAATCTGTCTAACAACAACAACAACGCAACAAACACGTCGGTGGCAATGTCTACAACAACAGCACCTGGAGGAGCTCCAACTACTACTGCAACATCCTGCTCTTCAACTTCATCAACATCACCGAATGGTGGTGGTGGGGGTGTTGGATCAGGTGCACTGTTCAGTATACGAAGAGCTGTAGGATTGTCTAGAACTAATCTACCCTTTCCAGCACGTAAACGTTTATTTGGTTGGTTAGTTGATCATTTAAGAGAACCGTATCCATCAGAAGAAGAGAAAATGATGCTTGCTATGGAGACAGGGTTGTCACGGACTACCGTAAATAATTGGTTTATTAATGCTAGACGACGTTATGTGAAACCATTAATGCAAGGACGACTTGTTTTACAATCAGGTGTTTTTAAAACTGTTTCTAATGATAACTGTAGTAGTAGTAGTAATAATAATAATACGACAACACTAGGAGGGGGTGGGGGCGGTGGTGCATCGTCATCATCCGCTTCATCACCTCCATCACCTGCAACAAACACGGCCAATAATATCAGTAATAATAATAACAACAACAACTTTGGATCAAATCAATATATGGCTACAAATGCTTCTGCGCCTTACAAATCGAGTTATACACATAGTCCAATAAATGATAAGGGTCATCGCGAGAGATCTAGTTCTCGAAGAGGTGGTGCTGCTGGTGGTGGTAACAGTGGCTTTAGTGGCAATACTAACAATAGTAATAACAATAATTCACCTAATATGCTACAATTTACAAATTCATTCACTACAAATCCTCTTTCGTCTACAAATGATTCAATCACTTCGCCATGTCATATCAGTAATTCATTTCTTTCAAATGCTTTTCAATCCTCGTGTTCCTCATCCTCGTCACAACAAAATAATTTATCCATTGGTAAATCATCGAATGCGTCTGATTCTGCAGCAGCTATCTCAGCAATGGCAGTCGCTGCGGCAGCCGCTGCAGCTGTATACGCTGGAGCTACAAATAGAGGATCATTGACATCCGTTCCAACGACTGCATCCTTATCAGGTCCAGCATCGTCATCATCATCTCGTCATCAGTGTTATCACCGTCTTCATCGTTACTTTTCTCATCACAATTTAGTAATCTACTTAATACAGCAGCAGCAGCGGCAGCGGCAACAGGAGGAGCAGGAGGTGGAGGAGCAAATTCATCTGTAGGCATGAGTCGATCATCACGTGGTGGATCTATGCATCATTTACATCCGTCTCTACAGCAACAACAACAACAGCATCATCAGAACCAACATTCACAACAACAACAACACTCTGATATGTTATTATCCAATGAAAATTTAGTAGATGGTATTACAAATCTATCTAAAAATCTCTTATGTTCATCTACATCTGAGCAAGAGCATATGATAGGCGGTAGTAGTGATTGACTGAGCAATTCACACAGGTGAGGTCAAGTTACACAGAAGTTCCATGAAAAATGAAAATATTACATATATATATGGTATACTGAAGAGAAATTAATTAAACATCTGTTCACGGCATAAAATGTATTATAAAGTTATGTTTTATTTTCTTTTTTGTTAATCTCTTAACTTGTCCAACTATCTCTATAAATGTAATAACACATAGCAAAGGATTGCGGAACGAAAACTCATCTACGTGGAGGTTTAATATTTACTTTATTGTTATAATAATAATAATAATAATGATAATGAATAAAGGAAGATACAGGTGTTTCTATTTGAAAATGAATGTGTACATAAATGAACCCTCGCCCAGCCACCCACTCACACACACATACACGCTCCAACTCCCAACAGACACTCCTCCCCACTGTCTCTCTATTTGTGCTAATAATATCAATAATAACAATAATATAACAATGGTGTATAATGACAATTCTGTATAATTCTCTTTTTCTGTTTTCTATTTCTAATAATATATACGCATATATTACATTTTTAGATTTGTTATGTGAAGAAGACATTTATTTCCGTGTTGATGTAAGACTGTAGTTACGGTAGAAACCAAATGTGCTTATACACACACACATGTGTGTTCATGTGAGTACATGTGTCTTTGTGTGTGTGTATGTGTTTGTGAGTGTGTGTGGATATCTACTTACTTATTCGCGCCCATTTTTCTCTTGTTCTAGCGATCTTTGCTTTCGATTATTAATATTATAGTGATGCAATGTATACGTATTTGTGTTTGTGTGTGGTTCTTCTTCTAAGAAGGAATTTCAAACAAAAAGGCAATTGTCAAATGAATGTTTTTGGCATTACAGTGTCTTTTATCCCCACGCCGCGACCCCCTGTTCTCTTATTCTCCACTCCTCTTTTTTCTTTTAAATCTGTGTTTGTTAACAAGAAATAAGGGGATGGAACTCACCTTTTTCTACTATTCCCTCCTTTTCTTGTGTAATATTTTTCTTCTTAAAAAAGGGAGTAGTACACAATACGGAAGAAGGAGGATTAAAGAACATTTTTTTAGTTTTAGTTTTTCACGGTTATCTTGTTTCATTTTTCAAATCTTTGTCAATTGATTTTATTGATGAGTGAAAAAGCGGTCTTTAACAAGTACTTAGTAATGATATTTGTATTAATTATATTTATTAAAGAATATTATTCTTTTTTCTAATAATTAAGAAGGATAAGGATTGATTTCTCCCTGAGTAATTATTCATCCATTTCACATTTGCCTGTTGTTGTATCACTCTTCCTCCCTCCCCCATCTTTCTCTGTTTACTTCTCACCCCCCACCATCGATACATCTCCGCCCACGTACAGCCGCCCACACACGCATACACACTTTGTACTGTTGTCTGACGATTTTTATTCTTCTTTTTCTCATTTCTCTCATTCCCGCCCCCCCTCCACCGCCTAATTTACAAAGGGAAATATAAAAGGTTTAAAGCCAATTTCCAGTAGTTGTAGTAGTCAACGTCAACTGTTTAAAAGAAAATATGTTTCTTCAAAAAAAATAATAAAGTTTCTTTTCCTGCACTTTATTCATATTACTATAATTTTGAGTACACAAATATGTGCTTAGACGACACACATATCTATCCATAATGTGTGTGTAAGTGGTGTACAGGATTGTTAATATATTTATATTTTTTATAGTAATTTATAGGAATGTTATTATGTGCCTATTGTAATTTTGAATTATAAATACAAACAGTGGGGGCGGGGGGAGTTGGGTGGTTACAAATATAAAAAAATTAACAAACTGAAACAGTACGTGAGTGAGCTTGCACACTATCACATACATTCACAGAAGGCGAGAGAGGGACGCGTAAACAGTATACACGAAAACCCCCTTAAATATACATTTAAATGTGTTTCAACTAACTACAAGGAAGGTATACACTCTGTACACTTGAGTCTTATTACATCATCGATTGTTATATAACTGTCATTATTTTCACAATAATGACTACTCCTCTCTTATTGTTGCTATGCCAACCACAGTGAATTAATTAATATAAACACAGATTTGTTTGTTTTGTTTTCTTTTGTTCTGAACGTTAACATTTTGCTTTTGTTTTTTTCTCTTTCTTTTATTCTTTTTGCGTTCTGTTGTTTCTTTTACAGGTTAAATACATATGCATATATATATATTATAAATATACATATGTGAATCTTCAAATAGTTTGTCTTCTTTCCCTTTGTTTCGATTACATATATGTATATATATGTTATAGGTGGGGATAATTAAGGGCGGTTAGCTTAGTGTTTGATATTTTGACCTGGAGAGAATTAAAAATACGCTCTGGATGCAGAACTCTAACAAGTTAAAGACGTTTATCAACAGTTGCCTTCGCTGAGTCCACATTGAAGATCAAATAACCAGCTGGCCAGAAAGAATTAGCAACAAGAAACTCTGGCTGGGAACAAACTAATGAGCAGTCGACTGCCCAAAAATATGTAGGAGTAAGTAGAGATGGATTGGACATACTTTGAGAAGGCCGTCGAATGACATCGCACGTCAGGCCATCATCTTTCGAGTTGAATCCAAATGGGAAGCGACGAGTTGTTATCGGTGCGAGGGTGATATGGAGGAGATCGTGTGGTGAGGAAGAGATGAGAGATTGTGGGCGGTGGTGGATCAGGCTGAAGAGGACAGCAGAAAATAGAAGAAAGCGGAGATGTATTGTTGAAGTCCTATGCTCCACTCGGAACCCAAGGGGATAATACAATAATAATGAAATAACTGATATTGCAAATGTCAGTAATCGATAAGTATTTAATGACTTCAGAGTTACTTTGTTACCAAGCTACGTCGTTTAAAAGTATCATTGAGGATTAAAGTGTTAGGAAGGAAAAGCTTCTTTGTTAGCCATTATTTAGAATTTATGCATGTGCTGATGATTATTGGACAACTTTGATTCGTTTATTAATCGCTTAGTTTTCTGAGGTTTAGTAAATACAGGACACCATGCTGCAGTTATTGTTGTGGTTGTAGTTCCGGTCGTTGTTTTTTTACAGTGTGACTTCTGTGTCTATCTCAGTATGGGAGATGATTTCAAATGATCATTCGGTTATAGTGTTGTGTTTGGAGGCCTATCCTGGTCAAGTTAGACAAACCCACAACCTCAGGATGACCCCATCACAGTAATCACAGCTTTATTCTAGATGATAGGTCAGCGTACAGTGTGGTGTCTACTACTGGCGTGATTTTATAAGTAGTACATCGTATATGACGTCTTCTGCTAGAGGAGAAATGAAAGATCCTTTTGAAGCAACACAGAAAATACGATGGGAAGACAAAAGAAGCACAATGTCGAGAACATGTACAAATGGAGATTTCAGTGTAAGGTTTATGTATTTTGCCATAACTCTACATCAATTTGTTACCAAATACTGCTGTTATAACAATGCAGAATTCTCAGCGTGTTTCATAAGAGTCTGGGAGGCGCATTTTATCCTATTTGGCTTTCGTTAGCTGGATGTAACTGTATCCTAAAGAATAATGGTGTTCCCAATGAGAAGTGAACTGAGCACTCGTCATTTTGAGCTACGAATCTTCATCCATTAGGCTACTGAACCACTACTGAGCTACTTGATGTAAAATGAGTATCACTTGTCATATCTTGAAATGATTATTTTAGATTTCCCATTGCTAGCTGCTGTTAACTGAAAGACACAGTGTCAACGTTAAGATTTCACCGAGACGTTCGTACTGGTGCCGAGATATTGACAGAGACTGAACGTTTTTGATGTAGTTGTGTTCTCTGAGCTGGATGGTTTATTTGCAAAGCTTTCATTTCCCTACTAGGCAACATCTTCAGCGCATACTTCAATTTGAAGTGAGCTTTTAGATTTCTCCACGAGTTTATTAATCATCTCTCCCGGTGACCTTGAACCCTCTAGGCTACTTGTATTGGTACTGATTGTTTCCTTGACCTGAACTTTGACCCTTTGTGTGTGAGATTTCCTCCTTATCAACTGTGAATGTGTCTATTGATTGACGATTCACTGGAATACCAGGCTTCTAAAAATTCTCTAGCATTCTTGATGTCTAATATTTGAACGTTGTCCCAGTCGAATGGATGTCCGTAGCTGTCTGTATGCAGCGATATGAGGGAGTGGATGTCATGTCTTTTGACGTCTAGCTAATGTTAGTGGTTGCTAAGAAGAAGGGGATGTCCACTTTGACCAATGTAGTGTTTTTCGCAGTCATTGCAACTTATTTTGTAGATGATGTCGGTTTTATCTACTTTGGTTGTTAAGTCTTTTGGTTGACATAGAGCTGAGTGAAGTGATTTTGTTGGTTTGTGTACGACGTCAATTCCTAAAGGTTTGAAGAGTCTTGTAGTGATTTCTGAGATATCCTTTATATATGGTAAGGTGATTTTCTTTGTGCTTTCCTTGTGGGCTTTTGATTTGGTAGGTTGGCTTGGGGGTATATGTCTTTTGATGAAATTCCGTGGATATCCATTCTTTTGGAAGATGTCCATGAGATATCTTTCTTCAATTTTCCTTAAGCTGGGAGTGCTGCAATGTGTCCTCTCTGAAAGTTTTGATCCAACGATATCAGTCGACCCCGGAATTCAAAATAATTCCAGTAAAGACAGATGTTCACTACTTGTATAGAATCCTCATGTAAAATAGTAGTACTAATAATAATAAGGGAGGGCACTTTATTTGAAGCGATGCTGTACGGCTCTAAAGCACTGTTTATCCACATCCATTACCATTATGTTTCCTCTTCATTTCCTCCGTAAAATGAATCTAGGCTGTGATTTAAGTAGGCCGCCGATTAAATGATGACTTAAGCGTGGTTTTGAGCACCTTAATAATCTAAAACCATGTCCTAGGTTTGGCAGGACCTATTTGGCTTTTCTAGTGTCTTACATAGAAGTTATAACCAATCAAGATTCATTAATTAAGATGGTTGTGAGAAGGGATATCTAAGTAAAATATTGACAGCGCTAGCGGTATATCAAAAAGTTGATGCAAATTTGAGATCACTCACTGATGGATTTATTCCACCATGAAATCGACTGATAAATTATCACTTAGTAATCTGATCCGTAAATGTGCACTGCTAATCTACAGATATGATCGGATGTGCAAGTATTTTTGCCTATTGTAAATGTTTAATATTAAGAACACCATATTAATATATATATTATTATTATTATATTATTATTGTATCCTTTAATTCCTAGAAGAACATAGGGCTTCAGCCGCGCACGTCTCCATTGAGTTCGGTTCTCTGCTAGGGTCTTCACCTGGCTCCAAGTCTGCCCACACGTTTTCATCTCCTCTTCACATGACCTCCACCAAGTCACCCACCCTCGCACTGACGACCAACTGGCCGCTTCCCTTTTGGGTTCCACTCGAGCAATGGCTTGTCTAGTGATGTCACTTGATGGTTTGTTTCCTCAGAGTATGGCCAATTCATCTCCATTTCCTCCTGCATATTTGTTTCACAATCGGCTCCTGGTTGGTTTGCTCCCAGAGATCCCCCCTGTTGCTGATCTGTTCTGGCCATCTGATCTTGAGTATTGAACGAAGACAACTGTTAATGAAGGTCTGTAGTTTGTTTGAGATGCTCTTTATGACGCGCAGTGCAAGTCTCTGATCCGTATAGCAAGTAGCACTGACTTCACATTGGAGTTGAAAATCCGGATGTTATTTTTGATGCTGAGAGTCGTTGACCTCCACACAGGCTTGAGAGTAGTGAAAGCATGTGTTGCTTTCCCGATTCTTGCTTTGATATCCTCGTCAGTTCCACCTGTAATTGAAACGATGCTTCCCAGGTAGGTAAAAGAGGTTGTTTCTTTCAGGTTTCTCCCATTTATGCTGATTGTTGTCTGTTGCTGTTGTTGCTGTTGGTGGTGTTGCCCAGGAATCTTCATCACCTCTGTTTACTCTATGTTCACATGAAGTGAAGTCCTGTCTTTAATGCTTCTTCTGCCAACTTGTTGCTTTTCGCTTGCATATCTTCCAGTTTGTGGGAAATCAGACAAGTATCATCGGCGAAGTCCATTTTATGCCTGTTTCCTCATCGCCTGCTGTCTGTCGCATTATCCAGTCTACTGCAATCAGGAAAATCATTGGTGATAGTAGGCAGCCAGCTTGCCTTAGTCCTGTCCTCACTTCGAAGGATTCCGTGAGCTTCCCGTTGTGGATTACTTGGCATGCAGCATTGTCGTACAGCTGTTGGATGAGATGTATAATTGTCTGTGGCACCCCGTAGTAGCGAAGTAGTTTCCAAATCACCTCTCGATCGACGCTGTCGAAGGCCTTTTCAAAGTCGATGAAGTTGAGATAGAGAGGTGACTGCCATTCCAAGCTTTGTTCAATGATGATCCGTAATGTGGCGATTTGATCAATGCATGACTTGTTTCTCCTGAATCCAGCCTGTTCCGGTCAAAGCTTTTCATCTATGGCATGTTTGATTCTCTCCAGGATGATGCGGCTTAGTATTTTGCTTGGGATGAACAGGAGCATTATTCCGCGCCAGTTCTTGCATTGACTTAAGTCTCCTTTCTTTGGTAGTTTGAATAAATATCCTTTCTTCCAATCTTCAGGTACTTTGTGTTCTTTCCACACCTTCTCCAGTAGTGGCGTCATCAAGTCCGCTGTTGTCTCTGGGTCTATTTTCAACGCTTCTGCTGGGATTCCATCTGGTCCTGCTGCTTTTCCAGCTTTTAGCATCTTGATTGCCTTCAGGACTTCTGATTTCGTCGGGGGGTTGGTGTTCACTGGTAGCTCTGTCTCTGTTGTTGGTATTTTTGGGCGCGTTGTCGGTGGTGGTCGATTTAGGAGTCTTTTGAAGTGTTCAGCCCAGTGTTTCCTTTGCTCCACTTCTTTGGTGATTGACTTTCCGTTGTCATCTTTCACCGACTTGATTTGTGTCAAACGTTTGCCCGATAGTTACCTAGTTGTTTGGTAGACTGTTGCGAGGTCTCCTTTGCCTGCAGCTTGTTCTGCTTCAATTCATATATATATATATATGTATATATATAAGGAATTATATCCGGTGAGGGAAGTAGATTAAAGGTGTGAATACATGAAATAATGATGGTAGTATGAAATGCAATTAAAATGTTTGTGGTTGTAATCATAGTTAAATGTCAAGTGGCAAAACAATTAGTTTTTTTCAAGTATTGGTTTTGTAGGGA